CACAAGGCTGACTCTTAAATTTCAAAAGTATTCGTCATATTAGGTAACCATTCTTATAGTTTTGATATATGTATTTTATATTAAACAGTCGTCTGTATAGCGATATGCACTCTTCGTAAAATAACATCATATTAAAAATTTATAGTGTAACCGTTATAGCTCATATTTTATTTAAAAAAAATATTCCCTCCACGACCGCGGACACGCCGGCGTGTCAGTTAACAATGGATTTCTTAGAATTTTAATTAATTTCTTAGAAATTTACCTGGAGGTGTTGAAAACATACAATTACGTAAGTTTAATTTAAAAAAAACGACACTCAATAAAATCTGTGTCTAATCATATATTTTTTTACTCTCTTTTAAACTCATTTCATATTTTTTTTAAATAAAAAAATGATATATTTTACGAAGGGTGCAATAATCAGTATCGAATGTAAAAAGATAATAAGAAAAAAAATTCTAAGCGAAAAAACATCTATACTGTTTAGGAAAATGGAATTCAAACTAACTACACGATTATACTTAACTAAGCCTAAAATGGCACATATATAATCCGCTCATCTATACAAATGTACGGCGGTCGCACCACCAGATGGGGTTCATTCAATATGTACATACATATAAAAAGACTGTATGTTTGTGTGTCATAATATATTAATATTTAGTTTATAATTAAATAAATTCGTTGTCTATATTTTACATATATTAAATAACTATAGAGCTAATAACTATTTGTCTATATCCACTCAAACTACTACATCTTAAAATACAGAAATTAATTGTTTCAATGAATAACCGAAAATTATTAATTTTAAAATTACTATATGCAAATGAACTTTAAAATATTAACATATTACAACACTATCACACACTATTTAAGAAAAAAAAACAATTAATCTTTACATATTTCAGTATCGCTTTTAATATCTTCTTTATAGCTCTGGTGGTACGACGCGGCCCTTACCTCTCTTGTACCCGCCATAAAATCGCAAAATGTACGTGATATGAAAAAAAACGTCTATTTTCAATATAAATAAATTTGTGCTTCAACGGATTATTTATTTTATTATATACATTCACTATTGCACTCGGAACTTGAATTAGACGCACTCGAAAGCATTGAAATCATTAAATTCGATCAGAGTCGAACTAATTCAAGAGTAGCATATATTTAAAAAGCAGTAAACATCTGAGCTCTATATATACATTTCTTTCCCATATTACGAACACTTCGGAAAATAACCGTGATGGGCAATTCTGTAACTGTACGATATACTCTTCGTTATAAGAATAAACATTTTATAACACCTTTTGATGTCGTTCAAAAACCTTTCATTCAAATACGAAATGCCCTTGTAAAAATAAGCTGAAATTACTCGAAATCGCTTCACAATATACGTATTTTGTACGATCAAAATAAAGAATATCTATAAGAATTGCCCATTTATATCGTACGGAAGCCAACATCGTAATTGACGAACCACTAAAAAGCAGTCTTCATATTCATAATACACGATAACACTAGATTATAATAAAAAATACTGGACCAATAGCTTGATTTAGGAATTACGAGTAATTTACACTATCCCACGATATATAGGGCGGTTGGAAAATAGGGAAGGAACGTTTCAAGCTCTAACATCAATATTAGTTATTACTTATATAAATTATATCACATTTTAATTATGAGAGTACAATCTTAATTTGGAAAAACTACTAAATCCTGACATACTACCGTTTCCCGTTCCGTTTAATTCTATATATGCTAGAAACATATAGAGAATGTATACAAAATTTATATTTTTTTATAAATTATGCCTCGAGCGGAAATCAAACTTGCGACTTTGGTCGTGAAACAGTGGATTTTTTTAAACGTAGTAACGTTTTTAATAAATTGTGGAATATTTTCCAACCGCCTTCTAAGTAATACATTGTAGATTACGAAATAACATAATCGCTTAATTGTCATAGAATAAAACCTACGATTTATGTCTTTGTATATTGTTCATTTAATTCAATATCCTTTAACTTTTACCTACTGTTTAAAAAAAATCAGTACAATTAAAAATATAAAAAAAAAATTTTGCTCATGGCTTAATGGCATAGTCTAAAACCTTTCTAATTGAATACAAAATCAAATCATTAAGAAATAATGTATCTGCAATCTTACCTTGATATAGACAGTTATTATTTTTTTATTTCCTAAAATATCCAAAATCGTACACAACCATAGATAATTTCATGAGAGAAGCTTTACTAATTCAGTTAGATCCATCGACATATACACATGGACCTTACGCATTAAATATCTCATATAAATACAGCAAACTATGGCGGCGTATATTTTCTAGCCTTTTAATGAATAATAAGAAACAGAAAGACTTATTTATATTAATTGTAGTATAAAAAATCGATGACGTTACAAAATATCAATGCGTCATAATCGATTTTTACTCGATTCAAGTGCATTATTTAAAAAATATATTAAAAGTACTAAAATCAACATACCTTTGATAACGTTTAAACTTGGAGTCATTGCAATAATAACAAAGAGAAATTATACTCATCGACGTATTAGATCAATTTAGAAGACGTGCACTAAAAACATGACAATTTAGATCATCCATATAATAAAATTGTAAATAAGCCGAATCTGTACATTAAATATTTTTTGGAAAATGTTATTGAAATAGACATTATTATCGATACAGAAGCCGAATCTATGGTTTTTAGAATTTGTCTGTTAGCGCATCACGGAAAAACCATTGGAAGGATTATTATTGATGAATTTTGATATGATGGTAGCTCGTTATCCGGGTCAACATATAGGATACTTTTTACTGCGGGAAAATATCTCATCCCTGTGACATCTATACTAAACTGTAAAACGTAACTAGGGAAGAACCCGAGCGCTAATATAAATATAAAGAGAAAATAAGTTTATGTCCACATATGGATAACGTCGATGGACCATTTGCAACCATCGGTTACGACATACATATATGTAATTTTATACATTCAATATAACCCGAGTTTACTCCTAACATGATAACATCCATACAATATTTTACAATGACATTAATAATTAGTAGTTGAAATAGGTTTTTTTACCAATAAATACCAATCGTAAAAAAGGGTAAAATACGGTACTTATTTAGTGTTCGACCAAAATTATTTTTAATGATTATTATTTTTACCTGATGGAAATTATGGATTCCCCTAAAGCAAATTTTCCTTTGAAATTTTTTTAATATGGAAATAAATTAAGAAAACAATATAAGGAACGTTAATTAATTTTAAGCCGATATTAGATCAACACTAGCCGAAACGAATAACAAATTGTCTGTCGGTCACTAATATAACTATATAATTATGTATTTTCAAAAAGGTACGTTTTTAGTACATCACTTCGCCTTATATGTACAGATTAGTTAGGCGAAATTTACACTCGAGCTTTTAGATTTTGCTCTCGAGATTTATATAATTCAATTATTAATTACATCTCATTAATGCGTCAATCTCCATTAATATCAAGATATATATATAATTAAGATCGTGATCATCATCAATGTTGATAGTCTATAGAGGCCCTAAGAGATGCAAGATTCCGGAGAAAAACAATCGTTAATAACCAGTATTAAATATCCTATATAACCATTTAAATTCAATAGAATAAATTAGTCATACTTTGCCTAGTATAGAGCATATCATTTTCAAAATATAATTATACCCAACTTATAAAAAAGGGGTCATTTCCTTACATAACATCGGCAAATGTAAACCGATATGGATATTCCTTTGCTATATTAAATCTGCCATCTTTTCCCTATTTCAGAACATAGATAAGAAAGAGATATCACTATCTGTCTCGAAATTAAAATAATAAATTTAAAAATCGATGTCACAAAATATCAATTGCAACATATTAATCAATTTTTATTCAATTAATAGTACTAAAATCAACATATCTTTAATAACCTTTAAACTTGGGGTCATCACAATATTAATTATTCCGTGATAACTGAGTACCACCGATTAAGTAACGATAGTGTATAACTGTACTTGAGAGTTAATAAGTTTAACGATTTAACAATTTTGCCCAGTTGATACATGCAACGGAACTGAACAGTATTAACGGTATTTTAATTAACGATATCGACAACAGTACATTATATAGTATATTATGGAAATGTCCAATAATCTAGATGACCGCACAACGCACTGAGTATTAATCAGTTCTTCATATAAATAATTTATCGTGACTCTGTCTGTGATGGTGTCAGCGACCTGTAACAAAAAATATTGTTAAACTGTCAAAATATGTGAAATACTGTTTGTGAATGATTCTTTCATTCTCAAGACAGACTTCTAGAACAATCCTATTAACATAGTTTTTCTCTGTTAAATACATTTAATGTATCTTTATAATTTATTTTTACAATTTTAATAAATTACTATTACGAGGTAGTGGTAGTGGTAAGCGGATTGTTATTAACCCTAACTCTTCTCCTAAAATAAAAGTAGCATAAGTTATTTTTAATAACATCAGCTATCTGCCAGTCAAAATCCAGCCAAAAACGATTTAGGAGTTTCGGTGATTAGACGGAAAAATCAGACAGGCAGACAAACATTTTTTTCTTATAAGTACCGTACATTCGTTCATACGTATTTAGTAAGAAGCTGTTATTTTGACATTACAAACAAACCCTTCAATTTTATTTATTTGTAAAGATTAATGGGCACTTAGCATTGGCTATTGAGTTAAGCTAACCCATATATAGTAATCGCACTACTATTATAAATGAGAACGCTTGTATGCGTGTTGTGCGCATGTGTACGTTTATTACTCCTTGACGCTGAACGGACGGATTTTGATGAAATTTTGTATACAGATATAATATAACCTGGAGTAACATAAACTACTGTTAGCAGTATTAATAATAATAATATAACAACTCATGAAATAGAACAAAGCTTGAAACACCCTTACCCGGTTCAGCTATCAGGCGGCGGTAGCTTCATCGAGTACGCGGTCAGCGCGCAGTATGCGGCCAGCAGCGCCTGGGGGGAGTGGGCGCGGGGGGAGTCCACGCTCCCACTCTCCCCCGCCGCGGGGGAACTCCCCGGGGAGTGTAGGGACTGTGGGGAGTGAGGAGCGCACCGCGCATGCGCGTTGAGTGCACTATTGCAGTAGAGATCCGCTGACACGCAGGCGGGAGCGAACTCTGCGCCAGGTTCCGATATCTTAGGGTTCCGTACTCCGCCACATGCTGCGCTTAGCGAGCAGAATGTTAACGCCCGCCATCCGCCGTATCTACGTGGAGTGCATTGATTAATATACAATTTATTTATTTGTTGTATGTTTTTAATGAAATTTTACTTGGTTGTAACCGGGGCCAATTATGGCCTAAGCAGACTGGACGACTAGTCAAGAGCTCAAATGAACGATTTATTTAGACAAATATTCAAAGTATGAAATATATGGGCCGACTCCGTAACCATCGACTGTAGATGCCGAAAAGTCTGCTTTCTTTGCTGACTGATCTGACTGAATACAGTAGTGAACTCACTAAGCCAGTTAGTTACTTCTAGTGTTCCTATAATTTTCATAAAATTTTCATAAAATTTCAAATAATTTGGTTAACTAGTGATATGTACACATTACACCATACATATAAATACAATAAGGTATACACAAGTGCAGTGATAACTTAAAATTTAAATAGAACAATTTATTTAGATGTATTTTAAGACTGTGTAGAATTACACCAATATGAAGCAATGGAGTGTTATTAGTAAATAATAAAAAAAACTCACTTATCCACAACCACAACTGGTCCGTTCTTATACTCCATCTGACAGCCTGCAACAAACTCGACCAATGCAAAGGAATCCTGATAGGGTGCTATCAACCTATCAATGGCATCTTCCCTTTCACTATCACTACTCGCTTGTCTCACTGCCTTTACAAACTCGTTGTCATCTGGTTTGCCCACACTATAATCACAAGTTTCACCGTTCAACCAACCACTGCACTTAATAAACTTAACACTTAGTTGATAATCGTCTTGCAAAGAGTGCACACTGACATTTGTCACTTCAATAATCCTGTCTGACGATACATCTGGTATAGTTTTCACTTTTTCAAATGTGTATACAGGTCTTCTTAATTCCGCTTCTTCTTCCACTGATAGGGATGGTGCTATTGGGGGCGGGGGTGGTGCCGTGTCTGGGGGTGAACCAGCCGTCCTTGATCCCCATTCTGGAAATTTGAATTTGGTGGGAGAGCTCAGTTTGAAGTTTTTCAAGGACATTTTAGAAGGGCTCCTCGGTGATTTGGGACCGTTTTTCTTTTCGGTTAGAGATGAGAATAAGTCGCCGTTCGCTATTGATTTTCTCGTGGGTAGATCTCGACTCCCGCTTAAACGTTCTAAGCGAAGCTCTGATCTGTCAAAGTGGTACCCTTGTTCCGAATTGTTTATAGGTGAACCATTTTCTGGTATAAGTCGTTCGTCGTCAGCACATTCACTACCTTCCTGCCGCCTATAGCCGTTTGTTTCTGGTTCTGATGGTGTTTCGCTGTGTGCTTTTCTTTCTGACCTTCTGTACGCCACATACGTGTCTTTAGAAACGAAACTCGCACGAAAATTTGCTACAAATAATTCTTTTTCGTCTTCTGTTGGCCAAAATACGTCACAGTCCTGTTAAAAAGAAAATTAAATATATACTTGTGTATTATAACCCTAAAAACACACACAAATCAAAAATGAAATTCATAATGATAATTGCTCTCTAAGTAATGAAAATAATCGTGTTGGTATAAAATTTTTACTAAATGTCCTGAGAAATGCTACCTGGATTAGTAGAAACATGAGTTAAACTCTAAAATACAAAATAGATCGTCTGTTGTGCCTGCTCATACACACACTGCCCAGTAATATATTTACTTTGGCCGGTCGCAGCGAACCGAATTCGACCGATCAATTGTCAGGATATCATTATTTCATGTGATGTGTTTGAGGTCATAATCTACTCCACTGATGTGTGTTCTTTGACGAGGTGACTCATCTATTAAAAAAACCGCATCAAAATCCGTTGCGTAGTTTTAAGGATGTAAGCATACATAGGGACAGACAGACAGCGGGAAGCGACTTTGTTTTACACTATGCAGTGATATAATCTCACCGGGTCCCCCGGCTGGTGCAGCAACAGCACGAGCTGCGCGGTGTGGTCCCACAGCAGGCGCCACAGCTCGGGCGCGGCGGCCGGGTGCTGCGCCACCGCGTACTCGCGCAGCCGCCGCCGCCCGCACACCCAGCTCGCGTTCACATATTCGCTACCTGTGGATACCATACATTAATCCATACTTAATATTATAAATTTGAAACTGTGTTTGTTGTTTGTTTGTCCTTCTTTCACGTCGAAACAAAGTGACAGATTGAACTGATTTTTGTATGGATATTGTTAGAGGGCTGGAGAGTGACATAGGCTACTTTTTACCGCGGAAAAACACGTTATAACACAACCCAAAAAACTATTTATGACCAGAATTACTCGAACCTTGGTATTAGTGCTGTTCAATGCAATTAAATAAATACATACGCGATTTAGCATTTTTCGAAATTCATCCCATAAGGGGGTAAAAGAGGGGAGGAGTTTTAGCGCGAGCGAAGCCGCGGGTTCCGCTAGTATTGTCTGAAATAGCACATAGGTTACTTTATGTCACAGAAAAATCTACGGTTCATGTGGGATAGATTCGTTTTTGTTTTTGACTAGGGACGAACCCGAAGCGAAACGAGGCTGAGTTGCTAGTATTAAAAAAACTTTGTAAATCTTAACCTACCTTATTTGATTTTTTCAGCACTAAAATAAAATGTTTTTGGAGTAGTCGTGTTTTCAAATCATTTGTAAAGTATGTCCACTAACCACTTGTGTAAGATACATGATAACAAAAGTATGTGGTGGAAATAGAATCATAATAATCAGACATCTCAGAAACAGAATTTTTTACTCACTATATAAACAACCTTGGCATAACTAAAATACTACAGCTTCAATCATAGGCTTAGTTACAAGTTTAACTCTAGTCGAGTTTGAGAGTTATCAGTTATGAGCTTATCCAATATCCCAAAACTAGAAACACTAATTTCCTTCTGTACAATTTTTAATAAGGTGAAACAACACCAAAGACTATTATATAACCAACAAAAAAGCAGTCATTAGAATTACCGACAGAAGTGAAAACTTACAACTAGAAACAAACAGTTGTTATTTTTGGATATTCAATTTAATTTTTTGATCTTAAATTTAAATTTGGAAACTAAAACTGTTTATATTTATCTGGTCTTGACATCTATCGGCACTCTGAGTGTTAACGACTGGCATTAACACGTCACGTAACCACGTCGATGACGACTTAGATTAATTTACTCCAAACCTGCCTCTAGAAGTTTTCACTTCAATAATAAACAAAAGTACCTTCAACCCCCGGTTTCGGCACGAGCATTACTCTGGCGGAGTCGGAGGGCAGGATGCCGCCGGGACGGTTCTTGTCTGCATTGTGCGGCGCGCGCGCACACACGCTCGACTCTACGCACGACCGCGTTATTAACTGCAATAAGAAAATATTTAAAATTTTACTTTTTTAGATTTACACCAATTTTCATGACATCTCATTCCATTAATTGATTAATTTAACATTATAAATGCGAAAGTTTGGATGGATGTTTGTTACTCAATCACGCCAGAACGGCTAAACAGATCTGGATAAAATTTGGCACAGAGATAGATTATAGTCTGGAGTAACACATAGGCTACTTTTTATCCCAGAAAAATATACGGTTCCCGAGGGATAGATTTGCTTATGTTTTTCTAAAGGCGAACCTGAGCGAAACGAAGGTGAGCCACAAGTATAATATATAGACGGTGTGATCCTACATACATATTTTTTTATATATCGCTAACGACCGAGCCATTGAAATTTTACTATATTCTATGATATTATCATTCATTCTTATTATTTTTTTATTTGAAACTCAGTTCATACATAAACATCAATAACTTTTTATATAACATCTGTAACTCCAGCACAACTAAATCCGTGCATGTCACGTTTACGCTGAGGAGGGGACGCTGTGCTCCGGTAAAAATGGGGGGCAATGTTCTGCCACAGAGTGACTCGGTCCGATACCTGGGTATGCATCTAGACAAAAGGCTGACCTGGAAAAAACACATCAAAACAAAACGAGACGAGCTGAGCTTACGGTTCAGAAACATTTACTGGCTGATGGCACGTAACTCCAAACTGTCAATCGATAACAAACTGCTGATATACAAAACGATCCTAAAACCAATATGGATGTATGGCGCACAGCTGTTGGGAAGCGCTTGCGACTCCAATCTAAACATAATACAAAGGCTGCAAAATGGCATCTTAAGAACCATTTCAAATGCACCATGGTTCATCACTAACACAGAGATCCATGAAGCTCTGAGCATAAGAACTGTTAAGGAGGAGTTAAAACTAACAGGGAATAAATATAAAACACGGCTGGAAAACCACCCAAATGACCTAGCTACCGCACTAGCAAATATCAGCTACACTAAACGACTGAAACGCCATGACATACAGAAACTTGGTGACAGATGGTGAAGGATGAGGTGTCTCATGCTGGGGAGCTCCTTGGGCACGATAAGGATGACAGGGAACAATTCTGCTTATAGTTTGGGACTGATCGCAGATATGCACAAAAAAAAATCTGTAACTATTTTTTTGATCAAAAATATACTATAAAATATATGACTTTTCTCCTTACTTATTTAAAGTATAACTTATAGATAATTAGAAATCATTTTAGCGATATACTCACTTGGAATTGTTTCTCTAGCAAGTTGACGGGCGGCGGTCCCTGGCACACTTGATGCCTGTTCGACAACGACCGCATACGCTCTAGTAGCGCGTAATTTTCTGCACGATTTGCTCTGTTGAATAGAAAATGTCATATATAGTGATAAATATATGTACTTATAACTTTAATATGAAAAAACTAAAAAGTGCTCAAAAAGAAGTACAAACACGTTTTAAATTGAAATGCAAAATATACAGTACAAAGTGAACTAGTAGCATTAATAATAATAGCCATTGTAACAAAATTAAAACTGCACATTCAGACTAAAGAATTATAATATAGCCAGAGCCCGCCAAAATAAATGTTAAAAGTCAAAAATAGTAATGATTTGCTGTTTGTTTATGCTACTTTTATCGATTTCGCCACTACTTTCTTTGAATATTAAGAGGGCCCTTCACGGTCGTACTATCTTCAACGCGAGCGTGCTTGAAAAGCTTGTTGTTTCATCCAACGCAATGTTAGAAAAAGAGGCAACGCGAAAAGAGTGAGAAAGCGCCTGAGCGATCGGTTGGCATTCGATTACTTTCGCCGCTCACTCGCGGGTGGTCGCCGGTCGGCCCTAGGATGACTATGAGCCATGTCATTCATGATAATAATAATAATATCGCGCGCGTGCCTATCTATTATCTCTGTCTACTATGGCCTCGCCCGTGCATAGCCGTAGTTTTATAAATTTCTCTGCATGCAGGTACATAAGTACCTACATTTAGTAAATGTTTTATTATACATATTACTTTTTTGTTTAGTACGGACGTAGCGCTTGGCCTCGGAGATATGCATTGTATTTTTACCAATCTAGGTACCTACCTACCATACGTGCGCTATTTTTAGAACATGGAAATTATTTATAACATACTTTCATTTCGTATTTTATGTACTGTATAATACCTCTTGGGCCAACAAAGAAAGTAAAGACAGATTCTCGCTACCAAAAAACTGTGCCTCAATTTCCAGTATAACTTGGCGTCGCTTATTATCAATTTCCCGTACAAAGAGAGATCTGCATAAACTGGTTTTGTAGATAATTTATTCTGCTTATAGAGTACCTTGCAGTACAAACAGAATAAATTCTTTATCTATCCTGTCTGTCTGTATTGAGGATGCTGAAATTAGATAACTTACATAATTGTATACAATGTACGTTCCGTTTCAATGTCAACAAATGTATGTTTGTGTAGATATTTTTTACTCTAAAGAACTTTGTTACACTTTATAAACAATACATAAAACAAGCCGGCTGTCGAAATATCTTGATAGGTACTAAGGTCGAGATGATTACTGACAGAACCCCTTTATTTTATTTGTTTTATTTTGTTTTTTTGTATTTTTTGTTATTACCCAACTACTAAAGAAGGAGGGCTATGTTTTTCGAGTACATATATGTATGTATGTATATTTCTTTGGCACGCTCTAGAGCCTAAACGGCTTGTCGTATTTGTGAATAGTGTCAATATATTCGTCTTAGTCGTGAGAGTGACACTGAAATGAAAAAAAAACAATATCAAGTATTTTAAGCGCCAAAATGTTTTCTCAAAACACTGTTTTCAAAATACATCTAGTGTGGTATCAAAATAAAGGATTTTATTACATCGAATTCTTGGATTTTATTTCTCAGAAATGAGATATTTTCCTACAGTATCGTATATGTTGACCCGGATAACCAAGTATCATCATACCAAATTTCATCAAAATCTGTCAAGAAATCTGTGGTTTTCTCGTGTTGCGGTCAGACAGACATAACTTATATGTTTTAATCGGAGTTTGTAATAGGAAATGCTAATAATAGTGAATTATACCTAAAGTGAACAAAATTTTCTACATTCATCGAGTATGATATAAAACAATTTATATTTAGCATTTTTAGTTTTTTTACTTTTTATTTTTTACGATTTAAATTTAAACAATGTGTTATATTTATTTTGTCTATACATGCATACATGTATAACGTGTGTGTATATATATATATATATATATATATATATATATATATATATATATATAATAGTAATCTATGATTATAAAGTCACTAAACGAAGATTTCTATAGAAAAACAAGATCCTTGTTGTAGGTAAAACGCAATAGCTCATTTACGTACAATTCATCGATGATCGACGCTGACTCGAACGAGAATGAGTGCAGCGCTAAGCGGGCGGGGGCAGAAGCGGGGCGGGGGCAGAAGCGCTTGCCCCCGCGCCGATCCCGCACGAACCAAACAACTCCATGAGAGTGCGATAACATTGAACGAAAAGTAGTGTGCGGAAATTTCTTAAAAATTGTTCCGGGAGTTACGTGTTTTTCAGTTAGCCTTACAAGTTTGTGAAATAAAATTTTGTCGTTTAGAATGCCCATTAAATTTGCAAGGTTTCTATCACAATATTTTCTTTACTTTTACAATTATCGAGTACATTATGAACGCCCAAAGTTCAGGTTAAATTTGTTTAAAAAAAGCAGATTTTTGGAGGCTTATACTGAATTAGTTTATCCAAATTTTGATTTTTTGTTGTGATAGAGACCTAGATATAGTGCACAATATACCTATTAGTTAAAAAATTTCAAAGACAGATCTATTACAACGCCATAATCACGTACGAGCGTTTGTATGAAAAGTAAGACGGGAAGGGCCCTCTTAAGGGATATTTTTTATATGTGTTAGTTAAATTAATATACCATTTTTGAGAATAAAATATGAGTAATAAAAATAATACTATATCCTTATTGTTTGGGTTCATGATTAGTTCTATGATACTCTGTCTATATTACTCCTTAATCTAATATTGCACATTACTACAAAGAAAATTAATCCTTAATGGTATCATAGTAGATAAAATTAAAAACAAATATCTAACCTTCTCATCTCCTCCTTCTCCTGTTCATTCATATTATTGTACGCCTGCATTTTCTTGTTGTACGTATCCGTCGACCTCGGGGCCAAATCGTATACACCCTCCATATCATCCCCATTAACCAAACCATCCTTTTCCTGATTCTCCGACACCTTTTCCATAGATTCACTTGCCAAATCTACAGTTTTTATCGACAATTGGCTGCCATTTTCTACTATTTGGTCACTGCAGTCGTTTGATTGGACGCTTGTGACGTCATTGTCTAGTCCGTTAGTTAGGTCATTAATGCTTTTCTGTTTCGGTGGGTTTACATCCATTACGGCCAGTTCATCATCAGATATTGGTTCCAGAAGCTTCGCTAGGTATTGCCTGGCTTTAGTGAATTCGACTTCGGTGTTGCCAGAGCGAACGTATTCTAGTAGGGCGTCGTGTACGAATACGTACTGTTCTTCTGTCTGTACGAGGTGGTTTCTTTGTGTGCGCGCTCTGCAGAGGAAGCCGAGTGGGGATAAGGTACCGGTCAGTTTGAGTTGATTCAATTGTGCGTCTATCACTATGTAAGTCCCTGTTCTGCCCACACCGGCGCTGTAAATAAAACAATTAATAATTAAATAAATAATTACAAATTATTGATTAATAAATTTTATTATTAACCATATTTCAGGGTAAGTAAAAAAAGGTATAGATTAAAATTTATTTTCCAATAAAACTAATAAAATCATTGTGATTATTCTAAGCCCAAAAATTGTTTTACGATTTTACCAATAGAGAGAGGGTTTATCGAAGAAGGTTACAGGCGAACTATGAACATTTCGCAAAAAAGAGCTGCCGGTATTATCGTATTTGTGAATTGTTGGAAAAAATAAATAATATCCGTAATATTGTAAATACGATGAGCACCCCGCAAGTATAAGGACGCTTTCATTTAAGGTCAATCTTACTAATCCTACTAATATTATAAACGTGAAAGTTTGTGAGGATGTATGGATGTCTGGATGTATAGATGTTTGCTACTCCTTCACGCAAAAAACTATCGAATGAAACTTTACAATAATATAGCTCATACGTCAGAATAACACATAGGCTACTTTTTATCCCGGAAAAATGTACGTCTCGTGGAATAGACTTGAGGGTGAGCCGCTAATAGTTTCTCTATATAAATGAACTAGGGACTCGCCCTCGCGTCGCGCGGGTTCACATCTAGGAAAACAAAACCAAACGTATCCCACGAGAACCGTACATTTTTTTCGGGATAAAAAGTAGCCTATGTGTTATTCCAGATTATAATTTATCTTTGTGCCAAATTTCATCCAGATCCGTTCAGCCGTTCTAGCGTGAAAGCGTAACAAACATCCATACATACTCACAAACTTTCACATTTATAATATTATAAAATACGGATAATACGTATTCGCAATGAGCTGCGATGAACGATCTGATGCGGTGTAGTGATAACCAAGGTATCACCTGCAGTGCACCAGCACGGTGCCGGGGTCGGCGGCGGCGCGCACGAAGGGCAGCACGGCGAGCGGGTGGCGCGGCGTGCCGTGGTCGGGCCACACCGTGTAGTGGTACTGCACCACGTGACGCGCCGCGTCCGCGCCCGCGCTCCCGCCGCCCCCGCCGCCGCCGCTGCCCGTGCTCGAACCGCTCGAGCTGCTAGTGCTGCACGGCTCGCTTCCCTGTTTAATTTGATATCGTTTTATTATTATTATTTTTATTTAAGAAATTTAAATATTCTCGGTACAAAACGAACAAGTGTAGCAATTACGGACTTTTTTTTCTTTTTTTTTTATAGAAAAAAGGGGCAAACGAGCAAACCATCCACCTGATGGTAAGTGGCTATCGTCGCTCATGGACATCTGCAACACAAGAGGAGTTGCGAATGCGTTGCCGGCCTTTAAGGGACCTATAGACATTACTCTTGAAGAGCCCCATATTATAGCGCTCAGGGAATACCTCGGGAGGAAGATCATTCCACATCTTGCACGTGCGGGGTAAAAAAGATCGAGACGCACGTACATTTGTAGAATGCCAAGGATCTAAAATGTGTGGATGACATCCTACCCGACGGCGAAGGGTGCGATGATAGAAGCGCGACGGTGGCACCATGTCAAAAAGTTCATCAGAACACTCTCCATTGTATAGACGATAGAGAACACACAGAGAGCCAACATCTCTCCGAAGGCTTTAGAGTGTCTAAGTCGTCTGTGAGTACGGGATCGTTGACAATACGAACTGCCCGGCGTTGGATAGAGTCAAATGGAAGAAGCTGGTATTGGGGGGCGCCGGCCCAGAGATGAGAACAGTACTCCATGAGAGAGCGAACCTGTGCTTTATAAAGCAAATTTAGTTAATTTCAAAGCTAGCAAAATAAAACTAAATGTAAGTGTTAAAGTACACTTTATAGTTCATTTTATAGGTGTTTCCTATGGACCAAGCCTAAATGAAAGTATTAAAAAAATGCAAATATATATCTAATCAAACTAAGATATATCGATATGAAAAAAAGACGCCTCTGCACACTTTTTTTCAAATAGCTCCTTAATTAACTAAGATATGTAGCTAATATCTACTCGATGAACTACTGTTGGTGTCCTCTACAATATAACATTGGTTACGATATAAGTTCCTATCGGGGGCACTTTCGCCATAGAAGTACGGCTAGACCCTTTCCTTACTCCACAACAAGTATTGAGTCTTATAGCATTTTATTATTCTTTACTTTTAAGAAATTTCCCAAAGGATACATGATCAGTATAAAGACTTTTTTATTATTCAATTCTTTTGTTAATACATAACTTCAAAACGTGGCAGTTGAGCTCAAATTACCTCGCTAATGTCACGTGGAATCGAAAAGTACCTCAATAAACAATAAAGAAACAAAAATACTTACAATTTGCGTAGTACTGCGCACGCGCAAGTGTCTCACAGTATAGGCGGCCCGGACATCCTCGTACAGGAGCGTGACGTGTATGCCACCAAACTCCGTGGAGCTACCGCGGCCGCCCGCCGGCCAGTACATGTCACATTTCCGCTGAAAATATCATTACTCATATTATTTCAAAGAAACTGTGATTATGTCACAACGATAGTCTTACATGCGATGCCTATTTCTAAAAAAAATCACCTTAAACAATGAAATCTAGTTTTCTAATCTTTATTCTAATTTTTATGTCACCTATCTAAGAAGGCTTGGACTAATAAGATGAATCTAACGATACCTTAATTAAAGAAATCCATCAATTGGTTTGGAAGATATGAAGGAATAAAGAATATTACAAACTTGCCAATACAAATGCAAATGCAAAATTACAAGCTAACTTCATCATGTCGCTTTTAGCTAACTTCAACATGTTGCTTTTTAACTGTCGGTGTGCGCATCTTAAAAATTTTACTCTCATAATTCTTTCCAAACGTCCTAAATGAAGTATAACTTAAAAAAAAATATTCTTATTAATATTCCATTTAAATTATTTATGATTAGCGACACACCCTCGATTCGCTCGGGTTCGTCCCTAGGTTGATTCCCAATACAAACTTTCATCCCCATTATCACCCCCTAAGGGATAATGTCCTTCCCAGGGTTTCAAACTATCTTCTTACCAAATTTCATCTAAATCGGTTCAGTAGATCCAACTCAGTTACTCTCTACAACGTCACTCTAACTCACTCACAAACATTACCTCTTTATAATATTAGTATAGATAAATATCAATAATAATTATCAATATTACAACGTCGCCATATTGCACACACAGTACACATACCCGCCCGCGCTCCACGAGGTTGGTGATCATGACGAGCGTGTGCACGCGGTGCTGCCATATCATGCGCCAGAACGCGTCGAGCGTGGCGGGCGTGGGTCCCTGCGTGGCGATGTAGCGTCGTCGCCACACCGCCCACTCCAGCTTAATCTGGCGCGGGCTGCCGTCTGCGGGGACAGCTGCTTGTTAATTAATCATATACAATAACTCTAAATATACTATTAGCGTCTCAAAGTATGTATCTTCAAAAAGAAGTGCACAATTCGAAATTGAATTGGGCTTCAAATGTCTTTTGTTCAGTCTGTTGAATAGCAAAACAGACAGACGCGGCGGGAGGACTGTCTTCATAATAATATGACAAGCTGTCTATAAATGCTGTAACTATTTTCGTAAAGATAAAGAAAATAAAAATAAAAAAAACTCAAAGAAAATATTTTAAAACATTGTCTATACCAAAACTCAACTTCCTATGAATTAAAAAACAAACATTTAAATATATATTTAAGAATAGTTACAAATACTTATTGATTTCAAGCTTACTAATTTCCACATAAACATCATCCAACTCAGAGTCATCGTCACTCCTTTCGCTGTCAGAATCCTCTGCCTGGTCTTCAGATTCCACGATACCAGAGAATTCGATATTGAGAAAAGCTGACTCGATGCCTTCGGCTAAGTTAGGTGGAGGTTTTATAGCCTTTACTGAAGGTTGTCTGTAAATAGGAAAAAATATAAATTTGTTAAAAGCATTACATACAATTGTGAAAATAAAATTATTTAATAACATATACTATATTTTCTTTAGACTTGCAGTTTCGTTTGAAATATTATTACTATTTGTAGACTAGCTTTTAGAAATGCTTAAATTATATAATTGAGTAATTTAGTCAATAAACAGCAAGAGTTGAATTGTCATCTTTTACTCAATTCGTGACCCTTAATCTAAAAACAATACCATCTATGAAGTTGAGTTGTCTTAGTGGCAGACAACGTTACCTTAGCATTAAAAAAATGAAAAAACACAGCAATGCTACTGAAAAAAAACAGTGCAAACCTATTAGACCCCGCCTGTCACACTAATCGTCACAAGCTCTACGAAATTGGCATTGACGTGGCAGACAGTGCTACCACCTTTATATAAAATTTAAAAAAAAATCAAAAGCCAACCTATTCGGCCTCGCTCACCTCTTCAGGCGTCGATCGATAATGCGCGCGGCGCGGGCAGTATGCCGTCTATGGAGATTAGACGTGGCAGACAATACTACCATAGACCATCTTAGCATAAAATTAAGAACAATAAAAAAACCCAGGCCAACCTATTCGGCCTGGCCCGCCTCTCCAGCCGGCGCTCGATGCGGCGCGCGGCGCGGGCGGAGAGCGCAGGCAGCATGCCGTCTATGAAGTTGGCATTGACGTAATCGCAGGCGGCGCCGCGGCCCGCGCCCACGCAGCCCGCCGCGCCGCAGCGCCCGCCCGCTGACACGCACACGCGCGAGTGGTCGTCTGGAATGTGGGCCATTAAGTTTATCCACTAACCCACTATTTTTAGTATAGATTTTTCAGAGACGAAAAATTTTTCCGGCAGTAAAAATTATCCTATATGTTTACCCAAATAACCAGATATCAACATACCAAATTTCAGCAAAATCTGTATAGTTAATAGTTTTCTCGTGATGCGTTTCCAGACAGACACAAATTCTAAATACTAGATTGGGCTTAGCTATAACTTTATTATATGTAGAGATTAAATAAAGTAATTTCGGCTACGGCGGCAATCTCACTGAAACTTGCCTTGTGCTATCTTATCCTGTCACTCCAGTTCAAGGGGCATGGGGATGAAATACGGTTAACTTCCCTACTCCGGGCTGTTACTGAGAATTTCCTGACAGAAAAATCCACAGAAACTATACATAAAATTATATTTGGCCCGACTCGGGCCTTGAACCAAGGTTCTTCGGATATGTATGCTTCATTTTGCCAGCTAATAAACTTTACCCAAATCATATGAGACTATTAAGGTCGCGGTTTCGACTCATAAAAAGTCAACAGAATTATTTTTGTTTTATATGCTAAAAGGTATTTAGATTCCATTATACCTTTATTGAAAAAATGTTTTACTTACATGCAGTTATATTCAAATATCGATTCTTGAGTCTGTTTTCTGGTCTGTAGCTATGATGGCTGGTATGACCTAGAGCCGCTGACTTAGCCACTACTATTTCATATTCTTTGCTGCAATAGAAAACGCATACTTTATCAATAAAATATAAATATAATAAAATAGAGCCCTTTTTTCTTGAAATTTTTTTTCACAAAAATTTTTTTTTCAGACTAATAAGAACCACAATTAAATAAAACTATCGACTGATATCGGTTCAGCCGTTCAAGTGATACGCTAATCGTGAGAGTGAAAAATATTTACCTTACTACCAAATATAAAAAAAAAATCATTAAAATCTATTCGGAGGAGTGTGACCACAAACACGGTGACACCATATTTTTATATATTAGAAGATTAAAAGCACGTACCTAAAGCCAATATCCCCATCAGCGTGCAAAGCAGCGACGTGCGCGGGGAAGCACCGCGCGCGCACCAGCGGGTGCGCCGCGCCCGCCATGCGCGGCGGCCGCGCCGCGCCCTCGCCCGCCGCGTTGCCCCCGCACGCCACCAGCGGCGAGCAGTTCACTACTGGAAAATAATTAAAAAAATATATTACAAGGGAGATACTATAATAATTAAGTTATAATATACTGTAATATAAATATATTACAGTATATTATAACTTAATTACTAATAATAATATGTAGAATAACCAATAAAGTTTGCTCTAATTTATATAACATAGTAATAATTAAGGATTAAAATATGTAACATGAAATAAAAACAAACAAAACATAAAAAAGTAACGAGTTAAACAAATAGAATTTAGAATTAAGAACATTTGGCCGTAATCATTTAAAAAAAAAAAAATTAAGTAAGATTAAACAAATCAATATCGAATAAATTACTAAAATCCATATGCATAATGCATATGTCTTCACTGACAATTTCCGTCGAATTGCGTTTTTTTAACTTTACTAGTAAAACCTTGTAGTCTAGGCTCTTTAGATTTTCTTGTTCTCTTTACACAGTTTGTGGTAAATGATTTGAAATGTCGAAAACCAAAATACAAAATAAAATCCGAAAAACGTTATTTTTTCACAATTATTAACAAATATTGACGTAAACGTTGCGTAGTTTTTCAATTGCATAAATTAATAAAAAAAAATACAATACCCGCACAGAAAGTCAATATTTCGACATACAGCTCCATTGATTCCAATAAAACGTGATACAATAAATTCAAAGCATATAATAAATTATTTGCAGTGACGAAAAAATTGTTGTTGTAACATCACTCCACAAGCTGAATAGTTTAGAGCCTAAACTTTAGAGATTATATATTTAAAAAAAACTACAATATTTTTTACGCCAAGAACATAAAACATAATCATGCACATAATCTATACAAAAAATTCATTTCCATCATAACAATAATGAAACATTCAATGAACCCACCAGGCTTCTTGTACGTGTTGAGAGGCGCGCGGGCCGCCCTCTCCCCGCCTTCCTCCAAGTAATTGTAGGCCGCGCTGATACATTTACTGACACGAGATCTGCATCTAAACGATATTTACACATGAATGATACATGATGGTGATGGTGATGATGATTATGAGGTCATATTAAACAGACGTCAAAAAAAGGAAGTACTCAATTATGTAATTATTAATTAAAATATTATTATTTTGTGTGTTTGTTACGAAATATCGCTTTCAATATTTTACATTTAATGATTTAAAGTGAATAAAAAATGTATCAATTTTTTTTTAGTAAGAGCAAAATAATACATACAAGAGAAACGGTAAAGTAAAAAGATACATTATTATTATTGAAGGGAGGCCAAAAGAGGTCATTAAACAACTATATATGTACAATGTTATTATGGACATAATTTGTCAATAAACAGTGGCAGTGAGTGGCATGTCGTCAATATAAACTAAATGCGCTACCATTTCTTATCCCCCTCATTAACTAATTGCACGGATAACATCTATATTTAATCATTTTTCAGTCCCAATGGTAGGCATAGGTCTCCTATCACCCCAACGTGCGTTCACCTTGTCGTGGTGGGGGGGCTCAGTAGTGCCCGGCAACCCAACCGGGCGCGAAGCTAAGAAACGCACAGGGAGGTTGCCCACTTCGGTGGGCGGTGGGAGGTGGCCCTCTTCGGGGGGCGGTGCACCATGCGGGTTGCTCCTGGTACTTCTCTGATAGCAGAGTGGACTGTGGAGCAACCCCATGGTTGTGGTGGTCTGCTTCGGCAGACCTGCCGTCGGGGCGTCGTAGTTGAATGCGTAAGCGATCCTGCGACGCCCCATTAAGACGGGGGAAGGTTTTGTTGGGTTTTAGTGGGTAGTACTGGCTGTATTACACCGGTGAGTCCCACACGTCGTGCGTAAATGCATTTCCCAACGTTAAAAAAAATAAAATAAAATAAAAGGTCTCCTATCAATGAACAATTATCAAGTGCGAGTTGGCGGCAGATTTCTTTACAATATTTTTTCTTTACCGTAAGGCAAGTACAAAACATTGCGAATAATTTATGAAAATATCAGAGACGAAAAACCCGAGTTTTGACCCCACTTCACTTTCCACACACTGCCTTTACTTAACATTCCATAAATATTATAAATACGAAAGTTTGGATGGATGCTTGTTACCCAATCACGCCAGAATGGCTAAACGGATCGGAATGAAATTTGGCACGGAGATAGATTATAGTCTGGAATAGCACATAGGTCACTTTTTATTCCGGAAAATGCACGGTTCCCTTGGGAAAAATATCTCACTGTTTTTCACTAGGAATGAACTAGAGATAATGTTAGTAATGCTCAGATGCATCAAAGTAAGCAATTTAAAGGTAAAAGAAATGTAAAATTTGTAGTTGGTGATAAGGTACTTGTAAAACATTATTATTCTATTGGCAATAAGCAATATAGCACATGGAAAGTAGGTATTATTAATAGTTGTATCGGTTCTCGTATGTTCAAAGTTTACATACCAGAGTTAAATCTTTTTACAAAAAAGCATGTCGACCAATTATGGATGTATAAAGGAAGTTCATCATCGGATAACGATATAAGTTCCATTGGAGATTACGTAAATGAAAATCATATTTTAGAAACAAAAGATACCGCGTCCTGTGGCACAGATAAAGAGGTTGGTGATGCGAAGGTGACACCGGACTTAAATAATGAAATTTCCGATGATGAATTTTTTGACGTAGATCCACCTGATGTGCATGAACCAGTCGGTAATAAGCAATCTCAGGATAATCGACGTTATCCAATTAGAACAAGTAGAAAAACTATAAATTATAAGGAGTAGCCTTATTTAATTATTTAATTTACATCTTAATTAGTGTTGGAGGAATGTAATATATGTGTTCGAATATAGAACACTTCAATATTTTGATAGTTGTCAATATTGATTTAGAAATAAAAAGGGATTTGAAAGCAAATGGATTTTTATTAAATAAAACTATCTTTACGGATTATTTCGCGGATTTATTTTGATTTTTGGTTCCCGACGTTTCGAATGCTTTACAGCATCCATGGTCACGGGAGAGACTGAGGTGTTACATGTCTTAAAGATATAGTTGTTACAGACAGCCTATCCAAATTTCAATAGGGAAGATGGCTGGGTACTACCATCGTCATGGGATCCTGTTATTAATATAATAAAATCAAATAATAAATATAAACATAACAGACAGACAGATGTAGTAAGTTCATACTGTGTAGATCAAAATGACAGCTTATCAGATTAATATTTTTCATTTGTAAAAGTATATATGAATAGTGTTGCTTAGTAAGTTGTTTTAAATAATAGCAAACTAAATTAAAATGATTATCCTTAATTAATTTTAACTTTTTTAAATTACACATAGAACAATTATATGGCTTTAATAATTAATACTATATTTTTATATTTTTATTTATGGTTATAAATATAATAATGGCAACACTAAATATACATTACTAATTAATATTTTTTAAAATTGTAATAATTATAAAAATAATAGCAAAAATTAAATAAATAATTTTTCATATTCAATTATAATTAAAATTATAAAAATGTTTAAAGTTAAAAATATTGTAATGTAATTGGTGCAATTTTCATTTTGTTAATTGTGGGTAGGCTGTCTGTAACAACTATATCTTTAAGACATGTAACACCTCAGTCTCTCCCGTGACCATGGATGCTGTAAAGCATTCGAAACGTCGGGAACCAAAAATCAAAATAAATCCGCGAAATAATCCGAAAAGATAGTTTTATTTAATAATGTCAAACATTCGCGTAAATCTAAGAAAGTATTAAATGGATTTTTATTAAAATTATCCAAATATTTCATGAACCGATTTAGATGAAATTTGGTAAGAAGATAGTTTGAGACCCTGGGGAAGGACATAGGATACTTTTTATCCCAGAAATCATTCTTTACGGGGATGAAAATAGGGATGAAAGTTTGTATTTGGAAGCAAGCTAGTAAGCTCACTAGTATGATAATAAAAACAACCAAACCAAATCCATATCTCACCTCCAATACACCAGGCCGGCGCTCACGGCCGCGAGTATAGTGAGCAGGGCGGCGGCCAGAAGCGCCACCGTGGAGTTGCCGGCGCGCTTGAGGCGCGACACGTCCCCCGGCGACATCGCCTGCGGCCGCACCGCGCACTGCTCACTCGACACTTCCTTTATATCAACATATTTATTTATTTACTAGCGGCTATTAACCCGCGGCTTCGCTCGCGCTTAAACTACAAATAATACTCTAAAAAGGTATGTTTCATATAAACTTTCCCTTATTTTACCCTTTTATGGGATGAATTTCGAAAAACGCTAAAACACATATTTATTTAATTGTATTAAAGAGCATTACTACCAAGTTTCAAGTAATTCTGATCATAAATATTTTTTGGGTTGTACATATTCTAATATAACGCTATTTCCCGTGGGAATTAGATAATCTCCCAAGATAAAGTAGCCTATGTCACTCTCCAGCCCTCCAACTATTTCTAAACAAAAAAATCACGCTAATCTATCGTTCCATTTCGACGTGAAAGACGGACAAGCAAACAAACACACTTTCAGATTTATAATATTAGTATGGGTTTACAGGACATACAGTTGTTAAAACATTATAATACCTTATCTAAAAACTTAACACAAAATATAGAAAAATGTTTAACATTTAAAGGTGTCACAACATGCACTATATTGTAACAGAGGCTTATACAATGTCTAACAAATAACTATGTTATATTATCAATCTTATATTCTCTTATAACTCGAGAACGGCTGGACCGATTTTTATGATCTTTGTTTTGTTGTATTTGTCTTCACCTCGAATAACAGAATAACTATTAAAACATCGGAAAAATTATCAAATAGTTTTTTTTTTGATATGAACGGCAGTAAAATATAGATTAAAAAACTATATAAAATAACTTGTAATTTTTTTATAGCATAGCTATTAAATAACGTTATTTTTAAAAACAATAAGTTTTCATGTAAAATAAATATGAAACGAAAAATTAAGTAATCCATGTATCATCATTCCATTTCACTATTTAACATCATTTAAGTTTTTTTTCTTTTTCAAGTTATACTTCTTTTGGCACGTTTGGAAAAAATTATGAGAGTAAAATTTTTACAATGCGCGCGCACACCGACAGCCAAAAAGCGACATGATGAAGTTAGCTGAAAGCGACATGAAGTGAGCTACATTCCTTTTACAAGTACTTTAAATTAATATAACGTAATAATCAAATAAAATTCCTCTATTTCTTACCTTAGGTGACTCAGAGCCGTTGATGAGTGTGTTGGGCCGCGCGATGGACAGCGTAACCGCGTACACCTTCACCTCATACCTGGTCACATTCCACAGCTCCACTTTCTGCAAATATGTACAATTATTGTTATTTAACAATAATCTTTTATTTCTATAATAATACTAATATTATAAAGAGGTAAAGTTTGTGTGTTTGTTTGTAGGAAGTAATCTCTAGAACTACTGAATCGATTTAGATAAAATTTTGTAAGAAGATAGTTTAAGGCCCTGGGACATAGTTTTTATACCGGAAATCATTCCTTTAGGGGATGAAAATGGGGACGAATGTTTGTATGGGGAATCAACCTAAGGACGAACCCGAGAGAAGCGAGGATGAGTCGCTAGTACATAATAAAACGCTAAAACGATTTTTATTCTAATAAAAATGTGTTTTCTGTCAAAAGTAATAATATTTTATTGCTTTATGGACGTGCGCTGCCTAAACAAATTTAAATAAATCAATAAAATATATGGGAAAAAGAAAAATGGGAAAAACATATATACACTACAGTGTCAAAAGTAAATAGACAGGGCATTTTTAATGAAATCCTTTTTTTCATCATAAACTCAATATTTAATTAAAAAACTAATGCATGATTATTAGTATCGTGTCGATCCTCCTTTATTATAAAACAACTATTTTATTCTAGCTTTTATAGTATTAATAAATTTATTGATCGGCTCTTGTTTGTAAATTAACCCATTCTTTAACTAAAATCATGTCTACTCCTTTTTATTCAAGGGTTTCACTGGCCTTTTTGCAACATTTATTTTGTAAAAGGCGCCAACACGCGAATATTTGGAAACCAAATCAAAATAAATCTGCGAAATAATCCGAAAAGATACGTTTTATTGAAGATGTACATTATTTAACTATTATTATTATTATGTATTTATCTGACATACTTATATAATATTCTGTTTATCAGATATGGAAATCAATTGTAATTATGTACTGTTCGTTAAAAACTTGACTTCATCATATCTATACAGATAAATAAAATTGAAGTGTATGTTTGTAATACCAAAATAACAGCTTTTTCTAAATGCATATGAAATTATATAGGGTACTAATAAGAAAAACTCAATTTTTAAAATTCCTGTCTGTCTGTTTGTTTATCTGCGAAACAGACTGATTTTTACAGGACTTTCACTGTCAGATAGCTGATGTTATAAGAAATAACTTAGGCTTCTTTTATTTTATAAAAAGAGTTAGGGATCCGGTCAAAAAAAATAAAACGTACCTAGGGACAAACCCGAGCGAAACGAGGATGAGTTGCTGCTAGTAAAGAGTTTTAAGTGTACTCATAATGCTTTTGTAATTGTATAAATATGTAAGTATAAATGATTAAAATTAAGTACTAAGTGTCTAATACCCTTGCATTCTTACGACTTCAGCCTTAAAGCAAGCTTTTACTTTTTTAGTCCAGACGAGACATGTAAATAATCAACATCTAAATATATAAAACACTTTATTTACTTATCACAGCAATGAACTTTCTATAATATTATGAATATAAATAACTTTATCTTATATGTATATTTAAAATTATTGTTTTTGCCTTCACGTTTAGTTCTATGACACTCTGCCTATTCCTCAAATTACTCGTAACATACATCAAAAAATAACGCACACTCCTTTTTAAAAGTCGGTAAACAAATAATAATTACTTACAAGACTAATAGTGGTTTCGATTTCGTCTTTATTAGTGGGCAATGTGAGACTCGTCCACGGCAGCTGTTCGGGGATCTTCCTTAGGGTGACCACGTACTGGTCGAGCGAGTTATTGTACTCTAGGGGCTGGCGCCATTGGAGGTAGAGGAGTCCTACAAATAAATTCTTAATATCAACTACACTCCCAAATATACACTTAAAACAACTTTATGTACAAATATTGTTTTATTTATATCGAAGAACAAACTACTTTAGACGAAGATGTTGCAAATACTTTTGAGAATTATTTTTAGGAAATCCCAATATAGGTCACGTCTTCTTTAAAGCCATTATTCTTATACGTGTTTAACACCTTACAGAAACATATTCATATCTGAGATCACTATCAATCAATAAATAAATAAAATTAAAGTGTATGTTTATAATGGCAAAATAAGTTTTTTACTCTAAATACTTATAAGAAAAAACAAATTTTAAATTTCTATCTATCTGTCTGTTTGTTCCGGCTAATTTACAAAGTTGCTGGACCTATTTAGACGAGACTTTCACTGGCAGATAACTGATGGTATAAGAAGTAACTTAGGATACTTTTATTTGTGAAAAAGAATTGGGGTTCTGCGCAAAAAAATTAAAACACATGAAATTGTAATCAAAATCTCTAATAAATCAAAACAATAAATATGTATAAATAAATAACTTACCATTGGGTTGATCACATGTCAAATTAAGTATAATTGGTGCTGAAGGCGGTTTTACATCGGTCAAAACGTAGAGAGGCTGAGACTGTGGTCCGAGACGATTCAGAAGATCGGACGACATCAGTCCTGTTAATGGGATGTTGTAGAATGCACACACCCAGATCTTGTATGGCGTGAATGGTTCTGAAAATTCGATTGTATTATAATATTTAAAATTCATATATTCTATTCTCTTTTTGATAGCAACTGCCAATCGTATTTTAATTATCAAAATCTAGCCATTTAAAAAAAAAGGGAACAGCCAACAAACTAGAATTCGCCTGAAATGGCAACCGTCCAGTTCAAACAGTGTCAGTACGAAACGTTACACGGCGTAAAGATAGTCACCGATTAGAGTTAGAGTATACGATATAAGAATGTTCTTCAGAAAATATTTTGCGCGCCGGAACTTGTCTGTAAGCTAACAATTTGCGCGAGATATATAATTATAGCGCACAATTAGTGTGTGCATTTCTTCACTGTCATAGTACGATGGAACGAATATCTAACCCGGCCGGTGAGAGCAAGAGCAAAACTGAGACGCGAGGACGTATGAAGTATTCTCAAGTTCAAGCTGCAACTGAGAATTTCTTGATCCCAATGACGAATTTTACCCAACACGAGACTTGAACCCAGGCCTTCAGATTCCGCAGACCTCGTCAACGAGGCAGTTAAAATACTTGAATTTAAGATACAACATATAGGAAATAGATTTTTTACAAGATATAATATTTATACTTACTTAAATTTCGCAATGTGAATCCTACAACCATAGTTTTTGACTGGCCAGACTTGTTCAACAATGTCAAATTTCTCGTTGAATTCAAACTATCCTGCATTCCTAAATCACTTCTAAACACGTTCCTACTCTTTATTTCGTCAGATGTTTGCACTCCAGAGACCACAGTTAAGTCGCTCGGGGCTTTCTTTATCGTCACCCCTTCCTCATAATACAACACGTACGCAATCTGAGTCACATCTTCTCTAGGTGGAATAACATTTAGTGACTTTTTAACCACTTCAATAGGCAATTCGAAGGCTTGATGCGTTTCCTCCCCAAAATTTCTCTCTAAATGCAATTTTGTGTCAGTTACATTGTCCTGACGTCTTTTTCTATGCCTGTGAGATCTTATATCTCTTTTATTTCGTCTCACATACGCACCGTCAGCTAGTACGTCAGAATCTGTGAAGTCATCGTTATACTTTTGCTTTTCATTTTTATACAAATTATATGTGTAATCAACATCTTTTAATCCGTCTTGGTTTGTTGGTGTGTCTATTATCAAACGATCGTCCCTAACGATGTCACGAATTGGTTCGTCCGCTTGAGTTTCCTTCACTGGTATCACTGCAAGACCTGGTTCTGGTTTAGAATTTTGTTTGTCGACGATAATTTCAGTGGGATTCGATCTGAGGCGTACCGTCGTATAATTGGCGGGCGGGGTCCATAATAAATGTATCTCGTCGGCTGAGATTCTGTTTGCTGTGAGGTTTTGTGGAGCGGACGGAACTGGAACAATTTAAAATACTTATCAGGTTGAGATGACAATTAAAGTATTATTAAGTACATATAGGACTACTATTATAAAACGAATATTTGTAAGCGTTAAACGGATGGACGGATTTGGACGAAATATAATACGCAGATAATATCTGTAGTAGCATATAGCCTACTGTTAGACATAACGGGGCGCACGCAAGCGAAACTAAGGAAAGTCGTTAGTAAATAAATTACTACATAGACTCCATCTATTTTATTTTTCGCATCTTGGAAGCGAAACTCGCTAAACTTGACCTACCCTAATATCGCATAGACAATGCCATCTACACAACTCGTATACGTCAAGGGCTCTTGGCATTGGCTTAAGTCAGCGCTTGACAAAACACAGATTATTGCCGTGCTATAACTAACATCACTAATCCACTTATCAAGACCGTGTTATTGAGGAAAGAAAAACACCACAAGTTTCACAATTGAAGTATTGCAGTAAAGAGGTCAAGTACGAGTCGAAAACGAGCGAAGTTTTAATATAACTCCGTCGGAATACATTGCAATTTGATCCCAGATTATAGATATCTCACTTATTGTACTCGTTCGGAAGCTTCCGTTATCAAACAGGCAAGTATTGAAAAAAATTAAATGGTAGCCTCAGATATGTTATCAGCAAAATTTGTGTATATTCGTTACATATCTCAGCTTAGTTGAAATCGATTTATTCGTCTCTGCAATTTAACTGTACGTATCGTACTTGTATCAACTGAGAATATATTGACACGAGAGAATAAACAAGTATAATAATGTACCACTTATTGATATAACTACCTTTTTATATAAAAATATAATTATAAAACTAGTCTTTAACTATAAATTTTTAAATAGTAACGAAACTACAATTAAACAAAAATCCAGAAATACAAACTAAAATTAGAGTAGGTAAAAAATAACTACATCGGAAATTATAATAACATGATGAATTGGTCTGATCCATTGCTATAATTAGTGCTATAAGCATTAGATACCTAACAGATGTTAAGAGACGTTAAATATTGACGACAGTTTAACATGCAATGGAGTTTATGCGTGTTGTAGGAGGAAAGACTAAAGAAGCCCATTTGCTACACTGACCTTTCGCATTGGTCGGTTAGGATCATGCTCATCTATATAACTTCTTATTAAATATATTAATCATATTATAATATTTAATCTTCAATAGGAATCCGTAACGTAGGAATATCTAATAATAGAAACATATAGTACTAGCTGTGCCCCGCGTTAAATTTGTTTAATTATAAACATCATTTTTACAATAATGTATGGAAGTCTACCCGATTTGTTGACATTTATGATTACTGGTCCACTCCTTTAGATAGAAACATGAAGATAATTCCTCAATAAGCGGGCTATCTAATGCAAAAAAAATTTGCAAAAACAAACAAACTAACTCTTTATAATATTATTATAGTATAGATTAATTATGTCAATATTTTACATTTTTATTAGTAAAATTAAACTTTAAAGGTTATCAATCGCAATAAGTTACACTTAGGGCAATATTATCAATGAATTGCTCAACCTTAGGCAGGCTGTCTAGATAGTCAGTTCATTAATAATAGAACTCGCACAAACGAAGGAAACATCGAGTATCAGCGTTTCCGTTATTGAATCATAATATAAATGGCCTTATACTTTTGATTTCCCTTGGTGTCAAGGTTTTTTGCATACGTATATTTGAGGTTAGGGCCTAGTATTGCAACATATAATAACATTTTGAGTCGAATCTGTATATACAGAAATATTTTTTGGAAAATCTTATTGAAATAGTCATTATTATCGATACAGAGGCAGATTCTATACTTTTTCGAATGTTTAAGTATCTGTCTGTCTGGTAACGTATCACGAGAAAATTACTAGACAGATTTTAATGAAATTTGGTATATCGGCGTGACGCCGTTAATTAATCATAATTAGAATAAATTCATAATTTAAAATTATAATAAATAATAAAAAAAAAATCAATTTCTAAAGTAACTTTTCATATTTAAATAAGTTGTAACGTTTTCAATTGTTGTTAAATAACTATTGTTTTTGATTTCCTGTTATTTTATGGTAAATTAAATTATCAATAATATTTATCGGCGTGACGCCGTTAATTAATCTTATTTAGAATAAATTCATAATTTAAAATTATAATAAATTCAATTTCTAAAGTAACTTTTCATATTTAAATAAGTTGTAGCGTTTTCAATTGTTGTTAAATAACTATTGTTTTTGATTTCCTGTTATTTTATGGTAAATTAAATTATCAATAATATTATAAGCTCATAAATGTTAAAATTAAAATAATAAATTATTAAGTTCGTATTTCCTCTTATTTTATGGTATATTAATTTATCAATAGTTTTACAATTGTAAAGTTTGAACATAGTACTTCCGAAAAAAAAGAGGGCGCTATGTTTAAGCTAATATGGCGGGAAAGCGGCCGACCAAGAGGAGGGTGGACGATGGGTCGCACTTCACTTTTGCTCGAGCGTTTACCTGATATAGAGGACTGGCTGTTTTTACTTAAGCTAGCAGATAAGTATTTAGGATAGGTTTAAATAATTATAGTGTTAATTTGTTTATTGTTAATTGGTTTGTTAGTTTAAAGTGATTAGTAAAAATTATAATAGTAAGTAAAACGACTTATCATTTTGATCTCTAGTTGATTTTAATTATCTTTTAATTTATTTAAATTAAAAATGAATGAAAATAACAAGGTAAGTGACGTCAGCAATGCTGACGTCGTTTTTAATGACAATATTTCTGTTCGTCCTTTGTCAGGTACGATATTGATAGCTGGTTATCCGGGTCAACATATAGGATACTTTTTACAGCGGGAACATATCTCATCTCTGAGTAATCTATACGTTAAAACGTAAGTAGGGAGGAACCCGAGCGGAGCGAGGTGAGTCGCTAGTCGCTACTCGCTAGTTACTTAATAAGAAGTGAATAGTAACGTCTAGCTCTAGTCTTTCAATGAGTTTGATAAAAATAAAATATAAAATAAAGCTAGAGTACCTACCTACTCAATATTTTTATGATTAAGACAAAAAATAGTAGGTACCTACTCAATGAGTCTATTGTTAACATAATAATGTGAGAATAGCATATAATATAATATATTATATAATATTAATTCAGCTTTATTGACCTGCTTATTTTGCGTGTATTTTAGTTACTTTGTTCAATTCAATTTTTCATTTGTTAAAATAATAAAAATTTTTTTAACCGACGCGACGATCGATTAAATAAGAACTTAGTCATTAGTATTGGTTTTTACATGGATTTTATCGTAGAACATCCTTAGTTGCCTGATATAATATCCGATGAATTATATTTTATATTAAAAAATAAGTTTATAAATCTATACATATAGTAAAATTGTAACTAAGCAGAATCTGTACATTAAATATTTTTTTGGAAAATCTTATTGAAATAAACATTATTATCGATACAGAAGCCGAATCTATAGTTTTTAGAATTTTTGTCTGTCTGTCTGTCTTTCTGTCTGTTACCGCATCACAGAAAACCACTGGAGGGATTTTGATGAAACTTGGTATGGTGATAGCTGATTATCCGGGCCAACATCTAGAATACTGTTAACCGCGGGAAAATTTCTCATTACTGAGAAAAAATACAAAAACTGTAAGTAAAAATGTAAGAGTATACTAATATGTAAAACGTAAGAATTTGGTTTTTGGTCACCTGAACGCGAGCAGAGCCATTGCCCGCGGCTAGTAATAATATAAAACCTACTAAAGAAACATAAATATACCGTAGACATTGAAGTAAAAATACCATAAACATAATATAGAGATACCGTGTGGTAATAGGGTCCCACTTGAATAAAAAACGAATGCGGGCGACAGAGCTATTGAGATTTGAACAAACATGCAAAATACGTGTATGTCTATGTAGGCGCATATAATACCTCAAGTAAAATAGAAGTAGTAATTACCCTTATACTAATGAAGTCTTAGGATGTAAATTAGCAAAAAAATCTATTTATATGTATTTTATCTCAGTGTCTTGACGTCTTATGACGCTGGACATATTGTAAAAATGTTAACTATAGCTGCTGATTCCGATGCGACCCGACCGATTTTGTCCTTACAAATAGATAAATATATTTTGATACGATTATTATCAATTGCAAAGTTTTCATTGTTTACTTTCCTAGCAACCCGCTTTTCAATAAACCGTGGCAAACATACAAAAAAAGATACATAAGGTCGAACAACCTCCTCCTTTTTGAAAGTCGGTTAAAAGGTGCCTACACTTCGATTTATTGCCCTATAAAAATTTGACAAAAGCTCCATTGTAGAATCGTTACTATTAATGTAGCGGATCATAATCATTAAACTTTCGCTGCATGCGAATATCGAACTCGCGAACTTTACGTAATGAATAGTCAGCTATTTCCTAGCTCACCTAGTTCAGTCACGGCAATAAAGTAAATAAAAAATTAAATAACGTAATATCGTAACGCTACTGACAAAAGATTTTGTATATTAATTGCGATAATTAAGTTAATTTGCCACTTTATAGTCTTTATAATTGTCTACTACATCAAAGGTCGCGGGTCTCGGCTACATCCCAACCAGGTACATACTCGTACATACGAATTATAACTAGCGACTCACCGTCGCTTCACTTACACGACAAAAACAAATGTATCCCACGGGAACCGTACATTTTCCGGGATCATATAACGGACTATCTAATGAAAAAATAATTTTTCAAATCAAATTAGTAGTTTCCGAGATTAGCATATTCTAAGAAACAAATAAATAAACAAACTCTGCCTCTTTATAATATTAGTATAAATTTATAATCCAAATTGTGTTTTCTGAAGTAATTTCAAATGAAATTAGTTTGAAATTTGCTTCATATTTCGCAGTTATAGAGCCATGGATACTGAAATTCACACGCGAAATATTAATCAATACTAGCGCATACCGACAGAAATA